ACTTTGAATAGCTGGAGGAGCCTCTTCTAAGTATTACAAGTGTTGTCTGAGGCTATAAGCAGATGTGAAGTTTCTCACTTTGCCTCTGACTCTCTATGAATTATGGGCACTCAGCATGGCCCCACTGAATAGTGGTATGAATTGCCCACACATATTTTGTGCAAAGCCATAATCAAAGTGATCACAAAATGCAGTCCATGTAAATTTAAAGCTGAATTCCAGGACGCATTTATTCTACAGATAGTTGTCTCATTTCAAGTAAATGGAAATAGTTCAGAATCTGTGGCTTCACCATTACAGCAAAGCTAGATGAGAAGAATTGTGTTTGAAATCTCCAGTGAGACAGAATGGTTGAGGGATGCTCTGTCTCTGCATACTCTAAATCTGTGTATGGTGTTCCACTTAAGGAATGCTTATGGTAATGGAAGTGAGGTGGACCATTCTTTCAGTTCTTTTCTCTTCAACCCCCATAGCCCCTTCCATTCCTGGCAAAACTGCTATGTAGAATGGGACAAAACGATCAGCCTAAATCATTATAGTAAAGGACAAAATACCTTCTCCCCATTCAGAGTAGCAGTAAAATGTTATTTTAACACATTGTACCATAGCCTGAGTGTGTCTTTTTTTAATATTACTTTTTTAAAAATCCAAAGTCATTCTTCTACCATACCAAAACACTTTTTGTCTTATTGATCAGTAATTAATGACTGGGAAGAATTCTAAAATCTATTGCAATAAATTAATTTGGTCTTTGTTTTTAAAGGCCAATAGATAAAAACATTGTGATGGATCACTTTTCTTACTAACTGAAGCATTATATACAAGCAATTGCTATAGCTTAATAACTAATGGCTAACAGAGGGAAAGCATATGCCTACACACTCTAGATTAGCTCAGTTTTTCACTGCCAGACAGTGATTCATTAACCACTTATTATGGTATATGTCTCAGGGTTCAGCGTCAGATTCTATCGGATCATTGTCCCATAACTATATCCCAACTCAGAATTTCCTCAGTCTACAGTATTTCCATAAAACCAATTTGAACTACTTTATATTTCAAGTGGCTCTCATATCAACCTTCATATTTGGCAGGCACTGGCCCTTTAAAGAGCTTTAACTGATTAGACCCCTCTATTCAATTTAAACAATTTTTTTATTGAATACTTAAAACTCTACTTAGTCTTCTTTTTGAGATACATCATAGAGCATAATTCTTAAAATAAATGAAACCTATAATTCTAGAAAGGCCATGCAATTTATATTTTTTAATTTCCCTATTAATATTATAACAAAATAGCATTAGATACATACACATATATGAGCACAAAATAAAAAATAAGCCTTATTAAAAGTTGTTCTCATTAGATTCAATAGTTTATTAGACATTGTCAAGTTGTAAAAAATATTCACTAATACAAAATATTGGCAATATAATAAGCAGATGCAAGAGTCTCCTCTATGCTATGATGTGGTATGAAACTGTGATGGAATGGAATTATGAAGGCCAGGCTCAGGGAGATAAACATTTTCTTAGCTCCCCAGAAGAGCATGGGAGGAACAAGAGGATGAGACTGGAACCTTCCTGAGGAATTCACACTGTTGTGGCTGGCTGACTTTGGGAGATGGGTTTCAGTCTG